CTGGGATTTGTTTTCATGTACTGGTTTAGTACAGGGTATCGCTAGACTGCTTGGACTCGGAGGGAGCCTCCTGCTTCACCCTCCCAGTGCTGGGATTACAGGTGTGTGCCACTGTGCTCACTTCATGGCCGGCTCAGCCCGCCCCGGGAGTGGAGCCGGCACAGCCAGGAATCAAACCGTGGTCCCTGAGCTTGCCTAAGAAGGGGCTTTAGTCCACTGACCTATCTCACCGGTCTCAGTACTGGTATTTGAATTCCAAAGCAATGCATGCAAGGTAATTAACCTAAAGACTTGAATAACTATTAAACCAATAGATTTAATAGATACTTCTTTTAAAAGGTCATTTTAAAAGAATCTATCCATCCTACTGAATTCACTTTATTTCCACTTTTAGACTAATTTATCCTCGCAACTTACTTTTCAAATTTGATACTCAAAATTTTACTAGTTGAACAATATACTTAAAATATATATTAGAGTTGGAAAAAACATAGTGCTTCAAAAATGGCAAATTATACTTCAATAATAATGGATTCATTGATATCCTCAGTTATTTTTTAAATTTTGATTTATATAAATGTGAAACAATTTTATGTTATGTAAGTACTCAGTTGTATAAAGCAAGATATTTGTTATTATTTTATTATTGTAAAATATTCCTCCTACCATTAAGGAGTCCTCTTGTAGCAAACACTATCCCACCACTTCTTTTTTGCAAATATTTCTTCTTTTCCATAATTTTATTGATAAACAAATAGCAATGAGACAGTTTCAAATCAAATTGGTAGGGCAGTTTCAATAATTAACACATTACATACATTCTTCTTATTGGTTAATCACTATACAAGATGCGGACATGATATCCTATTTACAAACACCATTAGAACAAATCCCTCTATTCATTAAGAGAATGTAAGTATATATCTATCCTAACCACTTTGAATACACAGATACAAAATGGACATACATCTTTTTTTGTTAATTTCCATTATTTGAATATTATGTGTAAACTCTGCAAAATATTCTAAAAGAGTCCAGTAGCCCATAATAGTATGGGGTCTTCCACTTGACTGGAAATGTCAGAAATTGTTGACCTGAGTCCCCTACAGCTCAATATAACAGCATGGCTTTACTTCTTATATTTCATTTTTATATTTTTCTGTTGGATGGTTAAGATCAAGGTAAAGCAGGACCTATGCAACAAGAGTTGTAGCTTTTGGGTTGGATAAGGTCAGTGAAATTCCCTCAGGGTTTCTCCTGAGATCCTGTACCTCAGATTGTTTGCCAGTGTCAGCCATGTGGATGAGTCATGGCCATTGCTTGACCAATGTGCTCTCTGTGAAAGCCTGAGAGAATGTTTTCTCTCCATGTGACTCTCCTTAGGCACACTCTACATCATCGATCACTTTCCTCTTTGGCCTCATAATCTCCTTGATCAGAAAATTGGGACACTACCGAGTTACATGATGTTACAGTACAAGTTCTCATATGTCCTGAGTCTTAATTGACCTTAGAAGGGTAGGGCCAAAATGTTGGCTTTCCTTGCAGCCTTCCTTTTTCTCTAAGTTTTGGTCTGCAAACTTAGTTGTTAACCATCCAGAAGACAAGCTTATTGTTATTATCATACAACTTAGGCTGTCAAGCTTAACCTCACTATCTGTCTGCATATCAAACATCTTAGGCATAATATGGAACAGGTATTTTTCATCAAGTATTGATATGCTGAACTTTAAGTCCCTACATAATATGATAAAAAACATTTAAAAATAAGAATATACTTTTAAAACATGCATAAAGAATTATATACTTCTTATGTTTACACATATGTCCAAAAATCTCACCATATACAGCCTTGAAGCAGGACAGTCCCACAACATTCCTTTTCCTGTCTCTTGCTTTCATTCACCACCCCCTTCTTTTTGAGCAACCATATACCCAAGAGACATCATAGCAGCAACTGGCATGTCATGGCAAGCAGCCCATATTCAGAAGACCAGAATGACAGGCACTCCAAGCATGAAACTACTATTACAAATTACCATTTGCAGTGCAGTAGCTTAATTCACAGGTATCAGTATATATAGTTAGTCAGGGTGAGAATCTTTCCAATTAACTGCTTGATTAAAAAACCATCTGAAGATTCTCAGGATCATTGCCTTGCCCATCTTCTACATATAACTGTATGGCTTGACTTACTCATGTTTTACTTGCTCTTCTCCTTTCCCTCTCTTGGTTAGTTAGTCCTGGAGATCCTGCTTTCCTTTTACTTGTATTATGCCTTTCTATTTTTATTTCTTCTTTTGAGTTCTTATACTAGGGAAACTATATGATATTTACACATGTGTGTCTGGTTTATTTCACTTATGAGTATATGTTCAAGTGGCATCTACTTCAATATAAAGGCTTCGAGTTTACCACTCTTAATAGCTGAATAATACTTCATTGTGTAAAAATACCACATCTTTTTCAACCATTCCTCGGGTGATGGGCATCTTGTTTGTTTCCAAGATTTGGCTATCACAAATTCTGCTGCTATAAACATATGCACACATATATCACTATGATATGATGTTTTCAGATCCTCTGGGAAAATTCCCAGTAGAGGAATAGCTGGTTGAAATGGGATTTCCAGTCCAACTTTTCTAAGGAGTCTCCACACTGATTTCCATAACAGTTGCACCACTCTATGTTCCCACCAGCATATCCCACCATTTCTTAACCTGTAATATTTTTAGTGTAATGCAATAAATTAGCAAAACTGTAGAAGCTGGAAAACATACACTTTTATTATCTGATGTTTCTGAGTTCCAGAGTCCAGGCACAGGTTCACTAAGCTCTCTCTCTGTTCAGGGTCCTAGTCTCACTTGCTTTTTGGGGCTCAGGTACAAGGTCAGTAGTCATGACAACTCATGTCCTTGCAGGTGTTAGGCAAAAGTCAGCAATTTCTTATGGCTGTTAGGTGAGATCACTTTCAGTTCTTAGAAGATACATGCAGGTAACAACTCTCTCTCTCTCTCTCTCTCTCTCTCTCTCTCTCTCTCTCTCTCTCTCCCCTCCCCCACATATTCCTTCCATTCTGGTAATGTCTGTGCTGTTGTACCCTGTCAAAGTTGACTCCATTTTGTTGCCCTTCTAACCTCGCTGAGTTCCTGTTCTATATGCGCCGACCCCTCCCAATTCCTCACCCCTGTGCTTATGATATCTGTTCCCCAAACCTTATCTCAATGAACTATATATGGCTGCCAACTCAAATTCCTCCCAATTCCTCCTGATTCCTCACCCCTATGACTCAAGTCTTATGATATCTGTTCCCCAAACCTTATCTCAATGAACTCTGTATGACTGCCAACCCAGCACCTTCACCCCACAGGACCACCCCATGAACTAATGACCCTGCCACTTCTTCCTCTCCACCCCTCCCCTGTTTCTGTGGTTTTCAAGCTTAAATACTGCACCTTGTCAATGCTCGGCGCGCCTCTTTGCACCTTGCATAGAGACCGCCGCTGGGTACCAGCTAAAATAAGGCGCTTCTTTTAACTTTTGGACTTGCCTCATTGTCATCTGATTTTTGAGCTACAGCATGTACCCTTTTGGAAAGAGCTCACCTAATGAAGTTATATCCTGCCAACTTACAATCTAATCTTCTTTCTAATTATCTTGAATGGCAAAGCACCTTAAATATATATATAGCCTTTTGTGAAATAAAATTTTAGGACATTCACAAGCCTTGCCCACATGAGTGTCCTCTTTTTACTAAAGCATGGATCTAAAAGAACTTTACAAAGCTGAAGGGGCCATGGGGAAACGGAGCTCTCCTCCACTGACGGTGGGAGGGCAGGCTGGCACAGCTGCCATGAAAATCGGAATAGGGATTCCTCAAAAGCTAGGATGGGAGGTCCAGTTCAAGCCAGCTAAACCCCTCCTGGGTATTTTTCTAGAACTGAACACATAATACAGCAGTGACACATGTGCACCCATGTTTATAGAAGCACACACAGCTAAAATTAAAAAAGCAAACCCAGATGCACATCGACTGAGGAATGGATAAAAAGATGTGGTGTTTTTACACAATGGAGCATTACTCGGCTATAAAAAGAAAATTGAGGCTTTTGTAGGTAGATGGATGCAACCAGAGACTGTATTGGTAAGTGAAATAAATCAGACCTGTGTGTGAACTTTGTATTGTTTTGCTATTGTGAGAATCTGAAAGATTAAATAAAATCTGAAGATTCAACAGATACTGTGAAAGGGAAAGAATTAGTCCAAAGGGAAAGAAAAGCTAGGATGATGAAAAGGACAAAAGAAAGAAGGAGAAAAGATATATATATATATATATAATTGTACTGTCAATTTCTGCTGTTTTTTTTTTTTTTTTTTTTCTTTTCAGAACCAGGGATTGAACTCAGGCCTTTGCACTTACCGGGAAAGCGCTTATTCTACTAAGCCATCTCCTCGGCCCCTCTGCTGGTCTTTTGAAAGGAGTAGTTAATGCTTAAATTTTTTTTCTTTATTATTCTTTTTTCTGTTTAATTTCTTATAACTTTTTTCTTGTTGTTTTGTGTATTTTTCTTCTTAATTTCTTATAACTTTTTTCTTTCTTCTTCCAATTTTGCATGCATATATCTGGTAATCTGAACAACTAACTTGAAAACAACAAATACAACACAACAAATACTGTCAAAATCATATTATTTTGTTTAATGAAATTCTGCATCATTTGCAATTTTTCTATGTTATTATGACTTTGTATTCTCTTTAATAAAAGAGAAAAACTTTAATTCCGCATGAGCCTTTTTATCTTTTGTAGTATTATTGCTGTCGTGTCAAATCTGTGATGAATTTCTGCAGAACTCGCACTATACTTCCACATGTACTTATTCGGTTTCCTTCCTCTTTTATTGTGTTCAATGTTTCTTTTTCTACAGTTTCTTTATTGATTTTGTCAATACTTTCTTATTTATTGTAACATGTCTTTATCAGTACTTTTTTTTTCTTTATAGAAAGGTCTGCTAAGAAACAAATGTCAAGGTGGGATTCGCTAGAAGCGCCAAGTGCCCGGGAGAGCCCGCCCGAGCGGAGCGGGCAGCCGGGCTGGAGGCGCCTCGGACCGGAGCGCGGCCGCGAGAGAGCGCGGCCTGAAGCGGCGAAGCCGGCCTCGGTGCCGGGAGAAGCCACCTTCCAGGACTCTGGGAGCGCCGGCTGCCGCAGGAGCGGACTGCCCGGCCACCGGGGCGCGCTTGGCCTGCAGCAGAGCGCTTGGTGCAACTTGCCTCCGAGTGGATTGCACGCGGCTTCACAGCGGGGCGCCGGGTTGGGGCCGGGCCTCCTCCTGCCCCGGGAGGCGCCGAAGCCTTTCTGGCCAGGAGCGGCGTGCTCAAAGTCGCCTCGGGTCGCCTCTAGCACCTCCTGTGGCTCCTGCGCCTTGCAGCGGCCTCGCCGGGCCATCCCGCGCCCGGGCCTGCCTGCTCCGCGCGGGCTGGGCTTGGGGTCCGTGCTGTCGCGCTCCGGCTGTCACTCGGCCGGAAGTGGGCAAAGGACCCCAGAGCGAGCGCACTCTGCGCGGGCTTCCGGCCGCGTCGCCGGGACTCGAACCCGCGGCCTCTTCGGCGAGCCAGCTCGAGTCAACAGCTCCTCGGATGGACGGACGGACGGACGGACGGACAGATGGACGAGGAAATGCCTCCAGGGTCAGGTTCAGACTTGCACTTTCTGGTCCTTGGAGCCGGGATCTTGGTCTTCCGGATTCTTACTGGCCCGGCGTTTGCTAAATCAGTCTCATCGCTGTTATTCTGGTTTCGTACACATTTATTCGTGCTCACGGGACATACGGGCCATGACAAATCTGCCACAGTATGCTTGAAGTAGGAAGCTCCATATAAACGTTATTAAGTAAGGGGAAGCTAAGCTAAAGAAAATTGTATGTAAGGGAGATTTTACTGTAATTATCCCAGCAAAATTCACTAGCATCAGGATGATAAAAATACAAGCAGATTTTACACTAGCCTCAGTACTCGGTAACTAGTTGGGATTTGTCTAATATTGATAATACAATATATATGCAAATATAGAGAAATTCTATTTAAATCAGTTTATTTTTAATACAAAGACATACACTGAACCTATAAAGCTCTGATTTGTCACTTCCTAGAAATATAATCTTGTAAAAACTGATAAAATTATATGTCATTTTTGTCATCTGAGGTGGAGGGAAGGAATAAATGTTGCTAAAATATCTATAACCTAACAAAAAGAAAAGGTGTACTTTGAAAATTTTAAATTCTTTAACTTCAAAGAAATACATGTTATAGATGAGACTTTTTCAAAACAACTTGCTTATATATGGATTATGAATATTACAACTGTATTCTAAATGTATGTTACTTTAATATTCTCTAAAATGTTATATTACATCTACACATTTTCAAATATATTTTTGTTATTTAAAGTGAGAAGCACTCATGAAGATTAATCCATTTTTAATAACTAAGATGATTTAGATATAATTTTATCCTTTCATTCCAGCCTAAGAGATTATAGTTTAAATCCATAAGACAGTTAATAATATAAAAAATCTGCTTTACTTTTAAAATTGAATATTAAATCAGAAAATTCAAATGGATAAAGAGAGAAAATTATATGTTTCAGTTTCAAAGTTAAAGTCACACTGAACATTTTTAACCTGAGAGTAGTCATTAAATATATGCCTAATAATTATGCAATTTGAAAATAAAACTGTAAATTATAGCATACAAGAAGTGGATTTTATTTGAAATGCATTTTCTTCTAATACAAGTATGGAAGGAAGTCAAATACACACTATCCAAATATAATTAACATTTCAAAATGAACTGAAAAAATAAATAGAATAATTAAGGTCAGTATTTGGGAGTCTTGCAAATTAAGTGACTGGAAAGAATGTGAAACATTACCTGTAGCGTGATTATGTTATGAGCTTCTTACCTTTTAAACCTAGGAGGACAGAACACGCTCGTGACGCCGTCTCAAGCATGCTAATCACCGCAGCCTTGCTTGTTTCTGTTGATCTATTTTCATTATAAATCTGAGTAAGTAAAAAAGAATAAAAACAAAGCTTGCTTTGATTTAGCCCTAACTATAGATTCCAGCCTAAGGAAAATTCAGTGATAACTATAATTAACAAAAGAAAGCATACCAAAGGCCAGCAAGATAGCGCAGCAGACTGAGCGCCAGCTTAGGCAAGCGCAGGTACCCTGGGCTCGATCCCCAACACCGCATGCCACCCTGTGCCAACCCCTCGGGAGCGCTAAGTTGACCGTCGAGATTGGGCATGGCTGTACCTGCCTGTAATCCCAGTGTTAAGGAGGCTGAAACAGGAGGATAGCTAAGAGTCTGAGCTGAGTAGTGAGACCTGCACAAAATACATTAAATTAAAAAAAGAAAGCATAGCAATATTGTTCTCTGTACTCCCAGAAAACAATTGCAGTGCCTTTCTTTAAGGCTGAAAAGTTCCCTAACCTAATCCCTTGCATCTTCTTCAAGAAACAAACTATATCACATGTCCTTGGAATAGAATATTATTTGGCAATACAAATAGGTTAGTTATTGAAACAGAAAATGAGATATGTGAATCTGAAATGGATTTGCCAGAAGAAGCCAGTAAAAAAGACTACAAAGGGGCTGGGGAGATAGATCAGCAGTCCAAGGGCCTGCCTGACAAGCACAAAGACCAGGGTTCAGCCCCCAGTACTGCATGCCGTGCTGGCCCAGAGCCCTGGCCACACCATGCTGGCCTCTGAAACTTGGTGTGGCGGCAAACGCCTATAGTCCCAGTGCTGGGGAGGCTGAGACAGGAGGATCAGTAGGAGTCCGAGCTGCATAGTGAGACTGTACTGAGTACATAAAAGATTTTAAAAAGACTACATAATTAGATGATCCAAATTTCTCATTTATATTAATTCCAAAAAATCATAGAAATACTCACCGAGAGTAAGTCAGGCCTCCCTTCCAGGTGCTAATTCTCGGTGTGCCCCATCGTCCTTCCTCTGCATCCAGTCTGAGGGAGTAAGAGCCACGCAGTCTCCCCGGGTGGAGCACGTCACTAGCAACCTCGGCTAGCACAGAGGTCAAATGCTGACGTTGACAGCGATGGCTCTGGATGAGACAAGTGGCTTTGAGGTGACAAACATGGTGCTTCACCTCGGTGGGCCTCTTCTCCAAGCCACATGCTTTCAGTGTAGTTAGGAGAGCAGCACCGGCAAACCCCAGCGGTGGGACATTCTGAAGAGCAGCTGTCAGCGCTCCTCGAAGGCTGCCGAGAGCCAGAGAAGCCCGAGAACCCGTCCCAGCCGAGGCCTGAGGCCACGTGAGGACATATGTAATGTGACGCCTTGGGTGAGACTCGAGGACCGCTGTCAGAAGCGAGCATCATTTCGCTTATTTATACCAAAGAAGTCGGTCCAAGACTGACTTTGACTAATAGGTGCGTCCGTATCTTTTCAAGATCATCAGATGCAGGGGGAGGTGAGCACTGCTATCGAAGGAGCAGCAAAAAGGTTTGCAGTTGTTAAAATTAGAGTAAATGGCAGGCAGATAGTACATGCAGGCCCGGTCTACATTCAACTCATAATGATTTTGCCTAGTTAGCAGATCCCGACGTAGATCATTTCTCAGTTTCCCAGTTAATCATTTGATTAGACAACCTTGGGGTAGCAGAACTCTTACTTTGATTGCTTTGCCTGGGAGGAAAGCCTATTGCAGTAAGGAACCTGCATGAAACCCTCTGAAACTCTTCAGCAAGTCTAGTGAGTCTGTGAGCAACACTACTTCCACCTGGGTCGGGGAGACAGCTCGGCGGTCCGAGCGCCTGCCTGGCAAGTGCAAGGTCCCAGGTTCCGTCCCCAGTGTAGCACGCCACGTGCCATCCTGGTCCCGTGCATTATCAACCATGAAAGCAGGGCCTATAATCCCAGTGCTGGGGAGGCTGAGACAGAAAGATCACTGCACGTCTGAGCTGTGTACAGAGACCCTGTACCAAATACATAAATCAATAAATTCAAAAAAAATTTTTTTCCACACATCACTTCTCTTGTGATACAGGAGCTCAAAACCTCTCCTTAAGTACTAACTACAAAACTGAACAATATGTTAAAAATCAATAAATTTAGTACTATAAAAGTGAAGAAAAGCCATGCAACAATTTACATAATAACAATTATTAATTTTCTATCAAAATACTAGTATTTAGATAATATCAATCAATACAAATTATTCAATTAAAACAATAGAGAAAAAGTCAAAGAAAGGAGATCTGCAGACATGTGGGGCAGGATCTTGCACATAATTGTATGCAACATAGGGAGATTAAGAGAAGAAAAAGAGGAACAGAAAAGTAGGAAAACTTCTTTTAAAAAGCCAATCACGATGCAGACATTAATCAATCAGGAAGCTAAAACAGTTATATATGAAAAATACGCAGATCTCTACATATACATTAAAAAGTCAAATGGCTAGAAAAATGCAGAGCGCCCTAGAAGCAGAAGGGTGAAACTTGTACATCACATAGAACAACTCATCTGATTTCTTATTAGAAAAGATAAAGGTAGTCAAAGGGTAACTTGCAGTGTTAAAGGAAAAAAACAAAAAGTTCAATTGAAGAATTACTTATCCAGAACAGTGCTTGTTCAAAACTGAGGGCTGCTGAGAGACATTTCCAATTGAGCATGAATTAAAAAATAAGTTGATATCAAACTGAATTTCCATTAAATAACACAGCCAGTTCCACAAGGTGTAAAGAAAAACACCAAGTAGTGCTTAAAAATAAAAGAATAAGTGAAAAGAAGCAGAAAGCATAAATATATGAGAAAAAAGCCCCTTTAAATATATCTTTTCTTGTTTTAAAAGCTATAAATTCACATAATGTATTAGAGTTATTAGAGTGTTGTACTTGTGTGTTTACAATGCACATAGATATAATATATAAGACAATTACAGCACAAAGAATGGTTGGAAAAATTGAAATTCTTTAAAGTTCCATTTTTTTAACCAGAAAAAAAATAGCTTTAAAACTAGTTTTAAAATCTCAAAGTTTAAGAAAATAACTAAAAATACAATGAATAAAAATCAAGAGGTGGGCCAGGGAATTGGCTCAGTGGAATAAGCGCTTGCCTGGCAAGCTCAAGGGCCTGATATCAATTCCCAGTTCCACAAAAAAAAAAAAAAAAAAGAAAAAGAAAGAAAAAAAGAAAAAGAAAAAAAAGAAAAGAAAAAGAAAAAAGTCAAGAGGTATTTCTATGGTGCACAGAATACCAAAGGAGACATTAAGAGAGAAACAGATTATGGAATAAAGAATCAAAATTACATAATGAAAAGATACGTGCTTCAGATTGAAAGTAGACATAAGGCCATTGAGAACAAATACATTGGCGAAGAGACAAGCAGGGAGGAGGCCCGACTAGACACCTCTTTAGAAACTATAGCTTGAAATAAACAGTGAAGTTTCATAAGGAAGAAAAGTCTATACATCTGCAAGCTATTTAGAATACCAGAAACCTTAGTTTTCAGCAAGTGAAAAGTCAGTTTTTCCAGCATCATTTCTTTAAAAGCCTTGCTTTCTTCCAGTAAAAATGTTTAGACTCTTTGTCAATGATAAGATGGCGGAGTGTGTGGGAAGTTGTCTTCTGATATGTTCTGTTGCTCCTCAGGTCTTTGTGTTGGGACTTCAGCCAGCACTCTATCACAATAGCTCTGGGGTATGATTTCAAATTAAAGCCTGTGGTGTTTCCTGCTTTGCTTTGCTGCCCAAGATTATTATTGTTATTCTAATCCTCTTCTGGTTGCAAATGAATTTCAGAAATGTCTTTCCTGATTGTGTGAGGTACGCTG